CGCTACGTTTTCCTGGGAAATCACCGTGATTCCTGGGTTTACGGAGCTGCGGATGCGACAACTGGAATGTCCGTCCTGAAAGAAACAGGCCGAGTCTTAGGCAAACTAGTCAAGGAAGGCTGGAGGCCACGAAGGACCATAAAACTGTGCAGCTTTGGGGGCGAAGAATTCGGTTTGATTGGCTCCGTTGAATGGATGGATGAAAACAGTTTGATTTTCAAGGACCGCGGCGTTGCGTACCTAAATACNCTGGAGTGTCCGTCCTGAAAGAAACAAGCCGAGTCTTAGGCAGGCTAGTCAAGGAAGGGGGCTGGAGGCCACGAAGGACCATAAAACTGTGCAGCTTTGGGGGCGAAGAATTCGGTTTGATTGGCTCCGTTGAATGGATGGATGAAAACAGTTTGATTTTCAAGGACCGCGGCGTTGCGTACCTAAATACCGACGTTCCAGTACAAGGGAAATATAGCCTCCTTGCCCAAACAGATCCACTGCTGGCTGATCTTATTTATAAGTGGACAAAAAAAGTTAAGGTGCCAGTGGATGATGAAAACTACAAATCCATGTTTGAGGTAATGCTAAAGCGAGGACCAACTCCTTTAGTCCCAGGCGAGCCGCAAGTCGCACCTTTCAAGTTCATGAGTGATTACATACCCTTTTATTTCATGGCTGGTATACCATCGGCGGATTTCAGTTATTTCTATAATTATAGTAACAGTAGGGGATGGCAGCTTTATCCGTCTTATCATACACAAGAAGACACGTTCTACTGGATTGAAAAATTCGCAGATCCCAAGTTTGAAATCCACCGTGCCATGACCTTACTAATGGGTGGAATGTTGATAGATTTAGCTGATTCCCAGCTTATCCCTTTAAACGTATCACGACTGAAGAACTCCCTGCATGAAGCGTACGATAAACTTATTAAAATCCAAACTGCAGTTATGAACAAAACACTTGTTCAAGAAGGGGTTGCCGCTGTAAACAGGTCGCTCGTTGAATTCTCCAGGCAATGCGACTTGTTTGCCAAAGCTCTTAGTGAGGCCAAAAGCTCAGAAAATGTTCACTCTTTGACATTGCGTTTGCTTAACAACCAGTTGAACCAGCTGGGGAAGGCTTTTATCCATCCTCGAATGAAAAACATGTATTCTGTCGTATTTCAACATGTTGCTCACTTTGGCAACTTTGCTGGCGTCGATTTAACGGCAAAGAAAAAAACTAATGATACAGCTGAAGTCGAGGAGCAACTGTCTATTGTTTCACTAGCGATATCTACTGCAGCCAAGGTTTTAAAACCCACTAAAATCCACCCACTGTAATTCAGAAAGATCTGTTTCAGCCTTAAAAATGGGGACGTATCGGTGATTAAAATTCTGTCGCATTTTTGGGTGTAATTTGGCTCCCTTAATCAGGTCGAATGCAGTCCAGTTACCTAGGGCTGATTTGGATCCAAGGGCTGAAATGGGTCCTAGCGTGGGGTGGAATAGCCTTTTGATGGGGCCGGTTTTGGTATAAATTGTGCTCAAATGACTTCAGGAGGCGCTGAATCAGACCTTGGCCTTCACGGCTGAATTGGCACTCCGGGGCCTGAAACAGATCTTTTTGATTTTCAGTGCACAAGCGACTTGCTTCTGTAAGTTGCAGCTGCAATGTTCCACCTTCTAATTTAACCGTTTACCGAATACCGCAAACTCGAACAAAGCGTAAGAGGCTGGTTGATTCAAAGTTTAAGAACACAAGTCTATCCCTTTTGTTTTAAGAATTTTTGTCTCAAATATTGGATTCCTTAAATTTTTAACCGCATCAATAATATTTGGGAATTATTTTTTCCGCGCCTTCCCCTTCGCCCGTCTCGCACTCCAGGCCCGCTTCGTGCTTTCCTTCGTTCGCCTAGAAAACTCAAACAAATAAACATACGTTTACAATTGAGGAAGTAGTGGATTAGGCACAGAATTAACCTTTTCCATGCACAGGAGTCTCATTGACTTACGCAGGAATACATTAACGCCGATGACGTCATGCATGTCAGATAGATTAGGATGATGTCATAGTTTATTTTCAGTTTGTAAGAAGCAAGTGACGTCAGAGTTTCTTAGGGGTTGACATCATCATGGTCATAATCATGGTCTTGATCAACATCATCATGGTCTTAAAGATGTTGAGATCATAATCTATAAATAGAAAAATGCTTTCATGTCCCTACTTGGTCATGATGATGTCATATTCATTCAGATAAGATGATATTATGGTTTGTTTTTACCTGCCAGTTTTTTTCTGTTGTTTCGACACAAATAAAATACCCCTACCTTACAAGGAAATCATTCTTGACATTCAAAAATGCGAAAAATGTGGTTAAGCGAATGCGAGTTTGTACTGATTTATACTGATTTCAAAGCCCAGCGAAGCGAAAAACTACCTGTCAAGCAAAAATGTCAATCTTTGTTTACTAGACTCTGTAGAACGTACTGTCCAGGGTATAAAATTCTGACGTGACTTGCTCCTTGTAAACTGAAAATAATTTATGACATCATCTTATCTATATGACATGCATGACGTCATCGGCGTTAATGTATTCCTGCGCAAGTTTATGAGACTCCTGTGCATGGAAAAGGTTAATTCTGTGCGTAACCCACTACTCTAGATATAGTCGGCCTTTACCTCAGAAATGTATCTGACTAGACTCGTGAACGATAATGCCAGTGGCTGATCCAGACCTTCAGAAGAGGGGGTTGGGGGGCGGTCATCCAGACCCTGAGATAAGGAAGGGGGGTCTGAATTTTTTTTTTTCGGCCCTTCGGGCCTCAGTTTGGTCTTAAAATAAGGGCTCGGGCTCTTCCCCTGGATCCGCCACTGAATGCCCCTATGAGAGGGTTTATTTTGAGAAAGAGTCTGCTTTAAAAAAATCAGTATACTATATGAAATGTTCCTGGCGTAATTTTTAACTGCAAATTAGGAAACAATACTGTGTTTTTAATAGTTATGGATACTGTAAAAAAAATACAGGAAAAGCTTCAAAGGTTAGAGCTTAGCGACGAATCCATATTGGGGGAGCCACCGATTTGCTATAGAGATTAAGAATTTAGCCATTTATATTACAGTATATAGCCATTATTTCAATAAAATTTATAAAAAAGTATTGCTTTTGTACTCACTTTACATGTGATTATTGTGCATGAAGCAGTGTGGTGCAACATTGTGGTCTTTTCATTATAATATTGCCTAGAGACATCGAAGTTTACTTTGTACGTCGATTTTCAATCCCCAGGCAGGTATCTTTGCCGGTTGGTTATTTTAGAGATTAAATGCATATGCAAATTCAATTGATGTTTTCCTTGGTTCGTCTTCTTCTTCTTCCTAGGTAGGTGAGTACATTTAGTTGTACTTATGAAACTCAAAGGTAAAATCTTTCTGTATGATTTGGTCGCCATGCGGATGACCTCGGATAAGGGTCGGGGAGTGTAACTGATTTAGAGCGTTACCGGTCGTTAATCGATAAAAGCAGTTTCGAAACAAGTTAGTTTCGTGGAGGTGAAAAATTAATAATTTCGTACTTGGCGTAGAGAAGGGGGAATATTCAGCCAATATGCCGGTTTTGCTTGTTCATGCGCAAGCTATACTTCTCTTCTTTGAGTGATCTAAATTTTCGTGCAGTTTCACTGGAACGACTATAATAATCATCGAACGAAACGTTTCGATTTAAGAGACCAAACCTGGGGATATGCTTCATCATTGCCTGTTATTTGTTGGGAGATTTTGCCTTCACTCCTAAGGCAGATGTATGAGGTAAGTGAATTTCCGATATTTAAAAAATTCAAACAGACCCCATATTACCCATTGTAAACCGGCTTTTTGTAAGTAATAGTCAATATATTGTATTGGCTTTCTGCTTTTTAGCCAGCGTCTTTTGCGGGCATTTATTACCCGCAGGTGATTAGGTATATCTACAGAGTAGATTTCCATTGTCGCGTATGATTTACGTGCGTAAGGACCGAAAATTCAACTGCTTTGTATAAATAAAAATCGAACTAAATAAATTTTCTCAGAGGCAACGTTTGAAAAGCCTGGCGAAGATGGAAAAGGTTGAACCTTGTTTTCCGTTTACGCTCCCGACCACATGAACTCGCCTTAACCTCGTTCGCAGTATTTCTCCTCTTCCCGTCTTCGAAACAAAGTGAAACCCTGGGAGTAACGTTCCATTTTAAAAGAGAGCAACCTTTAATTTCTGGAGTCTCAGTGGTAACATAGGTAACCCCGGCTTTTTATAAATCTCCTGTAATTATTTTCACACAAAAGCCATATAAAATTTACGTGCTTACACGTTGATATTGAGTGGCTCTGAGCGAGAATTACTTTTCCCACCGCATGACCTCTCTTAAATCCTATGTTGTCTATTTACGTACGTAAAAGCGGGCTATTATTATTTTACGTCGGTACGCAAGTAAAAAAGGCCCGACAGTGGGTGGATTTGAGTGAGGAATACCTTACATCATCTATATTTAATTTAATTTACGCACTAAAAGCCAGAAATAATTTATTACTGCCGTGTGCCCATAAAAATTTCGCAAAAGTGAATATCCACTACTTTTAACTGCCTTTTTAAATACTTCATAAATTTTTTAACACAGTGGTGGAGATATAATCTGTATTAGCAGTCGCATTTTAATCTGAAAATATATGGTTAATAAACCATCTACCAGAGGATATAGTTAGTATTTAGATACTCTGCTTGGTATTCAAGGTGTTCAAAGATACAATCTCGAGTTTTTGAGACAATAATATTGTACAGACTTGGGGGTAATGACCGGGAAAGTATTTGTAAGGGAGTCTTTTGTTTGCGTTAGGCACAAAACACTATTTTGTATAGCCAGAAGTAATTTTCTTAAAAGACTCCACAATATCCGGACTTTCACTTTGTCCGCTTTGATTCTTTGCAGCAATATCACTCCAGCTGGCAAGATAAAAACATTGATTCCTGTTTAGTTTAATGAAGATTCCAGCTAGACATGAGTTTACTTCTTGTTTTTTCTCTGGTTGGGCTCGTTTTGTCCAGTGTGGTTTCAGTCCCATTATTGAGGAAGGATGCAGCGACGCTAAAGAACGCGGAGCTCAAGAATATCCAAGATGACTTCGCTCCTTTACCAAAACAATTGTAAGAATTGAAACAAACTTAATACCTACGTTTATCTACGCTTAAATTTCTTAAATTATTTCTAACTAGTATGCTGGACAAAAAAGCATTTTCTTATATCCTGGGATCAGGTGGTCGCTTTTTTGGGGTGGCGGGAAAGTTTGGAAAGTCGACCGGACGGAGAAGGAAAGCACGTTCTGATCAGACTACGTAACAAAACCTATTTATTCAAGATGAGGAAAAGAAAAATTATAAAACATCTTGAAAAGAAAAATTACTTCAGCTATGATGTGCTAATTCCATTGTATTCTTTTGTTTACTAGTAGGTATTTTGCACTAGTTGTTATTCTCTGTTTCACCGGTCAAGTAAAATCACTCTTATGAAATAGGACGTTCAAAAACTATTTATAAAATATAAATTGGATCACTTGTGATCAGTAAGAAACGGGACAAGCCTGAAATTTGAGTATGATTTACCTTCCACCGTCTCTTGAAGACTTACATCACCCAATCTGTAAGATGGATATCTCTCTACAGCATACCTTTATAGGTGTATAGGCGAATCTTCGTTTACACTTTTTGCCTCATTATTAACATATGCTTATCACTATGTATTATGGCTAATAAAATAAAAACTCTGAATATTGAGAGGTCAAAACAGTTTCAGTTATCTCTGAAAATTTGAGCCCAATACACCGAATGATTTCGGAGAAATTCTCTTCTAAAAACTTGATATTTCACAGAGAATGTATGCATGGCTCATTAACTTTTTTGCCACACAGCAATTTCGCAGGTTTTGATGGCTGATATTTCATTAAATATTGCTTGCATTTAGTTCATATATACGGCCACGGCTTCTATGAGTTAAGTCGTAAGCTGAAGAGGAAAAATGTAAACAATGACGTCAGCAAAGATTCGCCTATAGAGCTAGTCTCTGACGTTCCTTGGTCATTTTGACGTAAATGGCTGGATGATGTCAACATATGTTCCAGGGAAGAGACCCAGGTGCAGGGCCGACTCTCACAAAACTGTTTCCAAAAATTCAAGCAGATGCCGGTTCCTGATAGGGCACGAAAAATGCTTTGTGTTATTGTGCCCAATCGGCGAACAGTTTCTCGGGAGTCCTTTTCGTGAATTCGTACACACAACGGATATTACTCCGCCACTCTTGCCCGGCTCGCGCACCAGGCTTGTGCGCGCAAGGGAAACTTTTATTTTCTACTTTCCTAACCAGAAACGAGGAAACCACCGATGAGTCGAAAAAACGTTTGGGATGTTATAAGCAGGAGCAATTCAATTTGCCCCGAGAATATTCTGTTTTTGACGGATCACAATGTATCGTAAATAATAGGAAGTTTGAGAAGTGGCGGCGACGAGAAAGTCAAATAAACAATAGCTTGACAAGGCAAAACAACAACTTTGCACGTGCATCACGCTTTTTTGTACATTTCTTTGCCGTCAACTGCACGACTACCCGTAATAATGCCTCATTTCACGTTTTGTGAAGGACGTAAACAAATAGTGACAAAATTCATTTTCCTCATGAACTTGGATATGGTTGATACAAATTCAGCTCCAGAAGAGTTCGCTTGAATTTGACAAAGTAAGCGAGTTGGAATAATCACGACAGAGACTGAAAAAATGCGAATTCACTTTTCCATGCGACGTTTTCGTGGTTGTCAGCCGTCGTCGTATCTTTTAATATATGGATTTAGCCAGGGCTAAAGGCGAAGCTCTGGTTAATAATACGTGTAAACAAAAAAAATTGAATCATGTAATGCTAAACAGGGACGACAATGAAAATGCCTTCAAGACAAATAGATCTAATTAGCAAAAAAAAAACAAATTGCCCGTGCAGCACCCTTTTCCTCTAATTAGCAAAAAACAACTTTGCACGTGCAGCACGCTTTTTTGTCTTTCCCTTGCCGTCGTTTTGCACGACTACAACGCTGTTTTGGACGTCTAAAACGTCAAACTTCCTAGTTACACATTATTTTTATGGAGGAATTGTCGTATGTGCTTACCCAATATTTTTGTTTCCTGCGTTCCTGTTCGCTTTTATTTTTCACTGCCGCCCATTTTCATCTTGCTGGCCGCTAGCATTTCTCCTTTTCTCACCCCCGCTGTTTTTCTTCCTACGAAATTCGTCTCCTTTGTTTTCAATAACTCGCTCTAGCTCTTTCTCAGTTATTTTTTGTGTAAACACAAAAAATAACGCCGAAAAAGACAGGACTTTGTGATTTCCTTCCAAATAAAACCTTGAGTCGCATTTGGGTTGCCATACCCGTTGATTGAGTTATTTTACATTGGTATGCCTGTAGTGCGGATGGACGGTCCATCGCTCGCTCGGTGAACGGTCACGTGATCACCAAATTTTCGCGGATGGGTAGATCACCACATTTCCTTAGCTATAGGGCTCCGCCTACGCGCGGCGCTTCGCGCCTCGCGTGGAGCTCCGCTAAAAACTCTCTAATAGTTACGTAAGAAGTAACCGATGCAAGCGTGAATACCTGTTGTAAGCTCAAGCTTGTATTTTTGGAAGAGCGTCTTTAGTTTTCGGGCAGACAGTATTTTAAAATCAAATGGGTATTTTATATCAAACTGAAAGTTTCCGGACTGTGTGCATTTCCTTGGTGCATGTTCCAGACAAGCCGTGATCGAGACAATAGTCGTCGTGTTCGAACTCACGAAAAGAACTCAGGAGAGACTGTTCGCTGATTCGGCACAATAATACAAAGCATTTTTTGTACCCAATCAGGAGCTGGCATCTGCTTGAATTTTTGGAAATAGTTCGGTGAGTTCACCCGTACTTGAAAACTTTCGTCCCGCCTTTTCTCCCAACCCGACTGACTGCCCCTGGGTCTCCGAGGACGCATATGTTCGTGCGGATTGTGTTGTTCGTCCGAATTGTCTCAAGAAATCGAGACAATTGAAGCGACCCGGACGGTTTCATTAAAATTAGGCTTAACCGGTTATTTTGTCCTAGAGATTTGAGTTTGACTAATAGTCGCGGGTCGCGGGTCCAAACTTGCCACTGGAGTGGCACAGAAACTTGTTGAATATGTGAGGATCCGCTTTCAAGATTAGTGCGGCACAGCTGCCTCCATTACAGCAATCGCAGCGATAAAAATCAACGTTCTCATTTGTAAACGTGATATGATCGCATATGGTTTTCGTACCGGCCAAGAGCTATTCAGTATAGTGTAGACAAAGCCTAAATATAACTAAAAATACGTGTATCGCAAAACCTCTTGTGGCTCGGGTAAATTGGCCAGCAGTAGGAATATAGACCAGCCATTTTGAAAGGCTTAAAGTAGGTCAAATTCATTCTAATGCAAACTTTTATTTATATTTTTACTCTTCCAACATGGTCACTTTGAACTACTTTACTCAATGTTTTTTTCTTTCTAGCAAATTGCAGCCATTGGCGGATTGAAAACAAAATGCGCCTTATATGTATATCGGTCGTTTCCGTCACTTTATTTTGTTCATTTTTTCATTCTATATTCTCCTTAGTTATTGTAAACAAATTAATCTTTTTTTTAAGCACTTTAAAAAAGGTTGTCATACTCAATACTTCCAAAGAACCTATGGGTCATTCTCAGACAACGCAGGTCTTTGTTAAAAATTAATCTCAACTATTGCACCGTTACGGTACTATAGAGGCCGTTTTATGTCTATCAAGTTATTTTATTTCATATTCATTTTTAGTTCATATCTTTTTTCTTACCGTCCTGTGAAAATCGTAAGACTCAGGTCTCTTTTCATTTAATTTTTTGTTTGTTTGCAACAGATGGTCTGACGAAGATTCACCGGAGGGTGAAGACAGCCTTAAAGGACCTAGCGTAGAACAGACGACAAGTAATGAATACGGCGGTCGGAAGTCCCTTGAAACTAAATTTGAAGGGGTAGTTGATTATGGTTTTAAAAACAAATTTGAAGCCATCGAAGAAGAAGCTGAAGAAGAACTTAAAGACGAAGCTGGGAGGCAACTTGAAGATGAGGCTGGGAGGCAACTTGAAGACGAGTCTGGGAGGCGACTTGAAGATGAGGTTGAAGACAAACGTGATGACGAGAATCAAGAACTTGGAGATGAGATAGTAGAAGAATTTGATAAAGATATCGAGAATTCACTAACAATGGATTTAGAGGAAGACCTTAGGGAAGAAGATAACAATACGGACGCGAATAATACAAGATTTCAAGCTCCTACACGAAGCCTTCCTCGTCCAGGTCGTAAACGACAAATATTTCCTATTACCAAAGTAAAGGGTGTTGGACTTGCCCTCATACTGGGACGCAGAGGAATGAGCCGCCGTGTACATCCTTTCCAAAAAACTAGTCATGTTCGCAGCCTCATTAAACATTAACAAACGAAGTGAAAGATGTACAAATCTAGCCGATGGGATACAAGTATGACTTTAGTACACAATCAGCATAGTATTGATATATGTCAGCAAATTTTGACACAAGCAAGTCTAGTTTTCCTTGAAACTAGGTTAGTTTCTCAGTAAGATTATTTGATGGGGAAGAATAAACATGTGAACATTTACTGCGAATGGAAGAGGTGCTACTCGATAAAGGGAATCATCTTACGGGTTCTTATTATTCATTTCTCTGGGTCAGTTCCTGTGCCTTTTTTAACAAGCCATTCAGTATTAACGGTGATCAGATGTCATCATTAGTAAACAGGTCTATGTAGGTCGGGTATAGGTGTAAGATAGAGAGGTTAAGTTATCCAGTGCTATCATGCAGGTCCCCTTTTCTCTTCCATCTCCAGAAGATAGGGAGGAAGATAGCCTTTTTGATCCTCACTAGCCAATAACTGACCCACATTTAAGATATCATGCAAGGAACTTACGATTGGAGAAAGGCGGCGCTTTTAATAAAAAAAATTTATAGAAAAACTGACTCATTTCTTCCTTTCAAAATTTTCTCCGAAATTATTACAATTCGTCCAGTTACCTGAGTCTGGAATACAACGTATGAGCTGAAGATCACGTCTGCGCTTAGAGAGATAGCGAGGCAACCCTTTTCATTTACCGAAACGTATCACTTTTTCACGAAAGGGAAAATTGGGTCTCTACTAGCTCTCTTAGCATTAAGTTGCGTAAGGGCCCAAACATTCGGCGTTTAAGGGGAGTGGCCTACTTTTAGTTTATTTTGAAACAGACCTTCTATTTTCACTAAATAACTTTCTGGTCGTAGGTAATTCACCCATGGGCTGGCTCACAAGAGTCTTTATGAAAAACAAGCGTAAAGCGCGCTCTCTGATTGGTCAATTACCCATTACTATTTGCCCATGGGTGAATGGTGACGAAAGGTAACGCGCGCTCGAAGCCGTACGCGCCACTTTCTGCGCGACTATGTTTTTATTACTCAGGGTTTGCAAAGATTTTTCTCTTAATACTGAAAAAAAATTTTACGAAGACCCTTAACGAGAACGTAAAATTGAAACGGAGAATTTGTTATTCAGCAAAGAAGAGAATATTCGCAAAGAATGATTTTTACACGCCACAGCGCGAGAACATAACAGCAATCACGTCAATTCCCCTGCATCTGTGAGCAAACGGGGGGGGGCTTGTACTTGGAAATTTCCCTCAAATACAAAGGTAAAACAATGCAAAAATGGTAAATTTACTTCCAACTACACGGCTAGCCCAATCGATTTTGAAACGCAAATTTCCCTCCGTAGATAAGCCCCTCGTAATATAAACCCCTCCAAAAATAAGCCCCTCAAAAAGTGCCTTTGAAAAATATAAGCCCCGGGGCTTATTTTCGGAATTTCACGGTATTTACTTTAGACTAATTGTCATGTCCACAAAATTAGAATATAGAGCAGAAGAAAGACAGAGAAAAAGAGAAAGTAGGCGACAGGCCAGCGAAGCTCAACGAGAAAAAGGGCGACAGAGGTCTAGAGCGAGAGATAAAAAAGAAAGGATATATTTTTTTGTTGGAGGAACAACATGAACATTTTATAGCGGCGGTGACAAAATGGGAAATGCTAGCGGCCACCAATGCAAAGTGAAAATAAGCGGCAGTGAAAAAAACGTGAACAACAACACGTACGACATTTCCTCCATAAAACATGTAACTAAGAAGTTTCTGGAAGTTTCACGTTGTAGTCGTGCAAAACAACGGCAAAGAAATGTACAGAAAAAAGTGTGCTGCACGGCAAAGTTGCTTTTTTTGCTAATTAGACCTATTGTTGGTTTTCACCATTCTCTAACTGGTTTCCCGAGGGACCTGACATTAAGCGTTTTGTTACATTTCTAGACTCTCACTTCAACAGCAACAAAAAAATAACCGGAGCGAACCAAAACAGTCGACTCGGTACTGATGACTTATAACAACACAAATTTAATTCTCAAAACCACTGAATAAATGATTTACAAAGTAATATTATCTGCATCTTTTTCCTCCACTAGCTGCTGTTTCTGTTCTGGGATAACTTCAAAAGTCGTTGCTTTTTAGCTTGAGGCTTCGTGTTTGTGTTGTTGTGTTCATTCACGAAAAAGAAAACTGGCAGTGATTTTCCCGCCTTTTGTCACGCCACTTTCCACCACGCTTTGATCACATGCTGTAATCAGGGCGGATAAAGGTTGGACGGTGAAACGAGCGCGTCCGAGTAAAAAGGTATGATGCAGTGGACTGGGCCTCTGCTTAGAAGTGACGCTTGTTTTCGACTTCGGTCAGGGCTTGCGATATGATGTGGTTTGTACATTAGACAATGCCGCTGTCACTGAATTATGGCGGCTTGAATTGTTTTCTTGCATTTTTTCCTCGTTCCTTTGTGCTGTTACGCTGTCTTTGAGAGGCAAATGTTGCTATTTTTTTACGGGAGGTTTAGTTGGAGTAGACAGACATCTCTTTCAAAGGGTTTCTCTTATTACTTCCATGACTCTACCACTGAATTATATTTTCGTTCTGCTACTCGTCAATGTCGATGTTATTCCAAAACAAAAACAACTAAGTACTGTCTAAAACACGAAGGAAAATCTCATCCACGTCATCCATGGCAAAACTTTTAAAAGACAGCAGATCGTGTTTCATAACTAGATGACGTGTATTTTATAAATGCGTGCAGCTCGTGCAAGGTGAAATTGTGCTAATTTCAATCACCAGCATCCTTCTTTTTAATTTTGAAAAAAACATCTCAGACGTCTTTCTGTTTCTTCGAAACTTCAAAATTAGTTTCCCCTCAGTTTTTTCTGTTTACCTTGTTTTGTTTTAGAGAGAAAAACGGAGAAAAAACCTTACAACTAACCTCAATAAATTTTGTTTACATGCGGTTGCCGGATTTCCAACGCATTGCGCGAATCGCCATGGCGCGTTGCACCCGAGAAGCAAAGTTTGAAGAAGTACAACGCCACTATATCAATATATATCAATCTAATTTTTTGTTATGTTATGTAAAATTTATCCTCCTTTAACATATGTAAAAATTGAGGTCAAGAAGTGTTAAGCTTTTGCAAACGAAACGGCGAAAGACGATTAGGTGATATTTAGTGGAAGGAGGAGGTATTCAACGCTTTCAAATTAAATTTAAATTTTGGCATTATACGACCAACAAGTTTGACTTATAGACGTACAGACACAAACATATGAAACTGTTTATTGATATTGCTATGAAACGAATTTATCTATTTAACACTGTAGCCTGAAATTACATAAAGAAAATAGGATTTCCGGTTTGCAAAAAGGAAAATTTCGCCGGCCTTGAAGCTCACCGGAAGCGCGGAAAGAGCGCTCGTGCCAGTCCTACTCCGCATCACACATTAAATGAAGAGCGGAGCGCTCGTTTCACCGCCCAACCTTTATCCGCCCTTAATGCACCCCTTAAGCGGGGTGCATTGCTTCATGTATCGCGATCGTGATACATTTGATTTCAGTAAAAAGCCACGTGACTAAGAATCAACCAATGGCAGTTGAGTGAAAGCCTAGAGTATAACAACATATGTTGTTTTTTCGAGCTGTTTACGTCGGCTACGATCAGGCTTGCTTTGTGGGCACTTCTTGGTCTGTGAATCAGTACGTGCTTCTTGTCCAGTTGTGATAAGCAAAATCAACATGAAGTTAGTGCTTTTCTTCGCTCTTGGTGTTTTCGCAGTCTTTCAAACAGGTTAGTTTCAATTGAAGTTTTAGTTTAAATAAGAACTCAGTAATGAAAATAATGTCTTTTGTGATTTTTTGATGCCTTTTGAAACGTGACTGCTCAGCTCCTGCTCAGATGGCGAGCTACAAAGAAACAATGTTCCAGATCAACTTTTTTCAGTGCCAGCTCCTCGAGTTTGAAATTTAGACACAAATGAAAGACTTAAGCAAGCTCACCGCATTGGAAATTACTAATTAAATTGAAAAATCCAGGAATGCAGTGACTTGACTCTTCTGACATTGTTATATTGAGTTCTGTATTCATATTTTCAGCCTTTCGCTTTTGAGAGTGCATCCTAATGAGCTGGAAAAAAGAATACATTCTGGAATATTCGGAATATGGGGAATGTTATATTCCCCATTTCCCCGCGAATAGTTATTTCGTCTTTGCGGGACATTAGTACCTTTCGTAACAGTTCACCTCAGTGTGCTGCAGATGTTTGCACTTCGGTCACCCACCACAAGGGCGCCGCGAATACACTGGTACTCTCAGTTTCAGGTAGTTTTGCGAAGACGACCGGCAGACTCCCAGTCCTCCTAAACTATAGTAATAAGAAAGAGCCCATTATTTGTCTTTCTGTCTATTGGCTTTCATTTTTCATTTTCGCTCAAAAACACGCGGGATTAGAAAGTAGCTCATGCTTATTTGCATCGTATTAAATAACACAAGAATAACAATATTGGAAATTTGCTATATTCGGCGCGGGTCGCATTACTGCCGATTTTACTCTAGAGATTAAAATCTGTCAAACACGCATTGTCTAATGTGACGCAACGTTTGCTTTTTTCAAAAAAATTCAAAATCTGAGAAAAACATCAAAGACGCCGATGTGCTTGGGTGGGGCTAGCCGATTTTGCCAATTATTATTATAATTATTATTTTCATCCAGACCCTTAGGTAGGCGGGGACGCGGTTTCCAAGAAACATTTTTTCGGCCCTTCGGGCCTCCGTTTGGTCTGATCATAACGCTGAGGGGGCCTGGCCTCCCGGACCCCTCCCCTGGATCCGCCACTGTTGCAGATTGGGCGTGGGGAGTTGTTTTTCTACACGTGCCATGTGCGTCCCTTCTGCTGGACTCGAGTTTGTTCCTTTTTTCCTTCAAAATGAGAAAACAATTTTGGTTATTTGAAATGTACAGATCGATGAATTTTACATGACTATTGCCTGTGAGTATATCTATGATTGTCACTGCTATCAGGAAAAAAAATGATGGAA